TGATGTCACTTGATATTTAAGTATAGTCTTTTTTGAATTTGCTAAAAAGCATTTACTCTGGAATACTAATGAGCCAAATAGAGTCGAACTGACTCATAGTGACCCTTTGAGTTGAGAGGCTAGAACGGCGCCTGTGAGTTTCAGAGACTATAACTCGTTATGGGAGTAGGAAGCCCCCTGTCTTTTTCCCTTGGAAACATCAGAAAATTCGCTTTCTGGGATGTCACCCTGTCCCTTCTGTTAGCAGCAGTATTATCTCTGTGCAGGAGTCCTGGTAGCGTTTGGATGAGAGCTTGAGCTGCTAACTACAAGGTCAGCGTTTCAATCCTACCAAGTGCTCTGAAGGGCAAGAATGAGACCCCCCGCTTTTATAAAGATTTACACTCTCAGAAGCCATAAGGAGGCAGTTCTGTTCTGGCCCACAGGGTCGCTGTGAGTCAGAATCTACTCTATAACAGGGGGATAGTGCTTTTTGGATATAGCCACTCCTCATTCATTAACTCCTCTGAAACCCTTTTGAAGACCACAATTCATACGCTGTCAGTGCAGTCAGCAGCTGGCCAGCTGACTCTCTGCCAGACTTCGAAAGCTCCCTTCAAGATTGCTGGGACTTTGTCTCTAAGATGGGAGAGACACCTTAACTCTTTGAGAAAGATTCTATCACTTGAGGGGAAATTTTCATTCAACTATGATGTTACGGCCAGCGATGGGCCAAGGGCGCCTGAGCCCTGCAAGAGCCATTCAGGGTGCCTCGGTGAAGCCTGGCCTTGGCCGAAGGCAGTCGCCCCTCAGGGCTTCTGAGCATCAGGCCAGTTCCTTCTGTAGTGCTAGCGATCTCACCACGGGAAGTTTGAGCTGTCCGGGGACCCACCGATCCCTTCGTCCCTAGGTGTGAGGGGTAGGTAGAGCAACTTCCTTGAGACTGATACGCAGAAAGTAGAAGCATCCGAAGCCCCCCACCCCCAATCCCGCTGACCCTTCCTGGGAGCCCCAGGTCCCGGCTCTCCGTTTCCAGAAAAGCCGCCTTTCTGTCCTCCCTCTTGATTTTTATTCATTCGAATCTGCTGAGTCTGACGGTGGTAATTATCCCCAGCGTTCATTTTGTCAAAGTGTATTAGTGGGAGATCAATAATATGGATCAGCCCATGCGCTCTCGACTTGTTTGGGCCTGTTGATCCCACTTAAATAAAAGTCAACCTGCTGTATACTGTTTGTTTACCCTGACCGTCTCTGAGCATCTCCACACCGTCACGGAAGATGCCTGTACCATTTGTCCGACGGAGAATATCTGCTGTCCCCGGGGTTCCCGTGGAAGGCCACTCCCGTGCTGGCCCAAGCTGAGCTCCCTTTCTCCACAGGACGGATGGACGTCGCTGGTCGCTGGCTTCTCTCCCCTCCTCTGGCTATGGGACAAACACGCCCAGCTCCACAGTTTCTGTAAGTGCCTGAAGTACCCCCCACCCCACCCCACCCCACCCCAGGCATCCGGAAGGCAGCCTTCTCTCTGGGTGTCTCCTGGTAGAACAGAGAGGCTACATTCTGCATGTCTGCCACTCCAAATAGGCTACGCTTCGGCTGATGTGCTGACAAACATAAAAAGAAGGGCATCATTTCCCCACGAGCTTGTACACTGTGGAGCATAAATTGAGGAAGTCCCAGGATTGCAACTTGGAGGGACTGGGAGCTTTTGTTCTAATACCATTTGGTGTCGTTGGGGGGAGGGGAGGGGTGGTGGGGCAGCACAGCCTGGTTGTACTGCTTTGGTTCCAGGTGCTGGATATTCATGCTGAACAGCCGTGGCCTGGTCTTTGTACCTGGTGTGACTTTGATAGAGGGTTTGGGGGTGGGGGGTGCAAGTTCCCCTCTTTCAAAGACAGATTTAAAAGATGGTTAGCCTTAAGCTGGCCTGTACCTTCCAGGTAAGAAGTTTCTTGCAGGGGAAGATGAAAGGAAGACAGTTAAATGAAGAGACAAGATGGAAACAGGACA